ATATATATATATATATATATATATATATATATATATATATATATATAATGTATATAATATATATGCACAATGACAGTAACAATTTTAATTTTCAGAAATATATGCATAAAATTTAAAAATATTTCACCTATATGTATCTTTTTTTTTAATATACACAATGGAACCTCCTTTAACGGACACCATCCAATAGTAGATAATTTTTTGGGGATGGGGACATTTTTATTACTTTTCAATGTAAAAACCACCGAATAGCAAACAACTATTTTAATATTTATTTAAATTATATGACATTACGGCAACAGAAAAATACTAGTGCGTTTTATTAGAACCTCTTGAAGTTATTATTAGATAGTAATAAGATTACAACGAATAATGTCTATTACAACGAAAATATCAATGTTTTGACTGTTTCATATCACCAATAGAAATAAAACGCAGTAATATTTTCTCTCCTACTGTAACTTTGACAAATTAACTTACTTACGAAATAGTACAGAGACAACATAGTTATAAAAAAAATCTAAGCTAATCGATTTATTCTATCAAAATGAAATGTATTTAAATATGTACTTAAGTGTTTTATGCATTTTTTTTAATTACATTTACGTACATTTTTTTAATTAATATATGTATATGTATATATTATTAGATCATTAAAAATTAAAATATAATAACACTCTAATTGAATTTAACATGCATATTTTTTTCCTTTAGAACATTTAATCTTTATGAATTCCAAAAATGTCATATATATTTTATTTTATTCGACCCTATGGTTAGTCTTGTAGTTGAAAACGCGCTCTTTACTCTTCCCTCTTATCAGCTAATCTCTTCAGTTTCATGTAATTTGACAGTCCAGCATAGGAAATAATTTGCTCGACAAGTGAAGTTCTCGGACGTCCTCAGTCTCTCTAACCTTTAATATTCCTTTCTATTATTCTATATACTAGTTCACTTTTGTGACTCAATAAGGTATATTGCTTTGATGGTTTTAAGTATCTCTCTGCATTAATTTATTTCACCTAGTATAGGCTTTTGTTGGTACGGTATTCTATTCAACTCGCTCGTAGAATCCTTTTCTAATACCACAATTAAAAAATGTTGAGGATTCGTTATTCTGCCTACATATGTATATTTATCATAAGTTTGAAAATCTAGTCTATACAGTCAATACTTTAAACAGAACATTTTCAATAAATTTATAAATTTCTTTTGAAAAATAACGACGAATAACTTGATGAAATATTTATAGTTTATAAAAAATTATAATACATATTATACAATAGGTGTACTTATATCATGAAATGTCATATTTCATGATTTAAAAAAATATATGATCAAATATTTACAAATAGATACATTTTATTTTGATAATATCAATTGTTTTCAATGTGTTTTATTAAATTCTTTATTTAATAAAGAATTTTTATTTTTGGTAGCTATAATTTTTAAAATAAATTTTTAAGTTTCAATTTTATTATTACAATTGAAAACCACAACTTAACCAATTTACATTTTTTATTTAGCTAAATAAAAATGAATGTTATATATTATTTCATGTTATTAGAACCATTGAAAATGATTTAATAAAACTGGTGCCATTGTAACTAATACCTATAACTGCAATAATTATACGCTCAAAACTTATAATTTTTTTCATAATATGTCTATAAAAATGCACAAATTATATGAAACTCGATTCAAGCTTAAGAATTTTTTTTTCGCTTAATAGTATTATTCGATGTTTTTCTAGGCTGATAAAATAATATTATTCACAAGTTTAATCAAAGATGGGAAATACAAGTAATTTAGGTTTACACGTGCAATGTATACATCCATATAAGGAGATAGGTAAATAGATTAAATATTAGTACTATACCTATATTGCAATTACTTCTGTTCAAAGTATATTTTTTTTATAGTTATAATAAAGAACTCTTTTTTTATTACCTATAAAGCATTATTAATAACCTATACATCACGGAATTTACGTAATACTTATTTAAAATCAATGAAGGATATCATATAATTTAATTAGGATTTAAAAATGAATAATGCATATATATATATGGACATATAAATATGATTTCAAAACCTGTTTTTTAAATAATATTGAACCTGCAGCTTGTTTGTGTATGAACACATAATAGTTTAATATACTTTATTATAGATGTATATAGAATATGACATTAGCAATCAAATAAATTTTCATTACACACAAAAACTGTTTATAACACACATCGTGGATGGCAAATAGTAATTTTTGACCTGAATCGCTGTATTAATATTATTCATAAACTATACTATTGTGGTTATATTTATGGAAAAAGCTAAACATTTTAAATTTTAACCAGTTTCATTAAACATACTTAAATTGTTTAGATTTTTTTGTACTACTTTGAAAACTCTATTATAATTTCCATGTATAATTAATAATTAAAAAAAAAAAAGTAGTATACGGTTTAACTATTTTTTATTGTATATTTTTAATATTTATAGTCATATTTATATAAAATTGGAACTGACTACTCGTTTAAAATTGATTTATAAATACATATAACAAGAATTTAGTAAGAATGCCATTAGAATACCATTATTCACGCTCATATATCTTACACACGCACATATATACATATATATATTAATTGAAAATCAATATCATTATTAATCACGACCCATATAGCACATAGGTATAGAATATTTAATAAAATATTATAGCTGGTACTACATCATGCAAAGTTCTAAGTATAAACTACTAATTATAACAATAAATATGGTAGTATATTGTATACACAATCATAATACCTACAATATAATTTATTTTATTTTATATTTGTTAACTTTCATTATTCCATGGGTATTTTAAATCTATCATAAAATTAATATAAAATTACGGAAATTATGAACATTTTGAACAACAAAATATAATGAAGAGTATGAAAAGAAAACATTTATGTATACACAATTCACATAAAATTCATACAAAAATACGTGTTAATGAGAAGACAGGATGCTCAAGGGCTAATTATTTCTTTATCATTATAATGTTTATTAGTGTTAAAATATACAGGTATAATATATATATTTAGATTGACTCGCTATGTTTTCTTAAAACAGAATTTAACGTGTACCACGAAAAAATTCACGATTCTCTTTCAAAAAAAATAAAATAAAATAAAAATTTAATAATAATAATTATAATTCATATTTTTTTTTTAATACATATATAACATTTAATTTGTGTCAATACTAAATACCATATCTACTAGTTTAAACATATTATGCATAGAAGATTAAGATAATAGAGCTCATACATTTTTTATATTTATTTAATTTTATTGTATTTTCAATTAAATAACATATTCCTTAGGTATATCAGTTGTAGTTTAAACAATATTCGATTTGGTGCTATAATGTATAAAAATACATTAATATATTAGCTTATTAAATTTGATCTAATTAATACTCATCTTTAATAAATCTTAAAAATTCGTTTATTTTTAACAAATGATAATTTTAATTGAATATATAAATATATGTACGTCGCATACAAATTATATATCATTTAAAAATAGCTAATTTTTATTGTACATAGTAATTAATATGGGAAACAATTTTTAAATACAATCATAAACTAAATTACAATGATAAGCTGATATAATTAGTATATATAAATATTAATCAACAAAAAGATAGCGAATATCAAAAATATGTGATTTTATCTATTAACAGAATATTTTTATACTTTAATGCATAAAATATAGTGGAAAAAAATAATAATAATAAATTGAAAATTTCCTTATTTGTTTAGATAATTTAGTCAGTAATTTTATCTAATTATTATTTAATAATTTCTTTAAATAATTTTACTATTTTTTTTCGTATTGACTTCAATATAAAGTATTATATTAAATGCTATACAGTATTATGTACCCATACTCAATGCGTATGTGGTTTTATAATATTCACATTATTATATCAATGTAAGTAAGTACACTGTATATGGCTGTTATATTATGATATGTATGATATAGATAACTGTATACGAAAGGAAAATCCATGGTAGTTATATCGATGTATAAATAACACATAATATTCGTAATAATATAAATTTGTTTAATAATTTCAAAACTAATCGAAATGGAAATCAAATTTACGGGAGTGCGGAGCACCGTTGGATTATCGTCAATCGATAACTACACCGCTGTAATAATATGGACATGCAATTGATTCGAAAGTATCGCAACATATACACATGCGTATATAATTCATAAAAAATAATAATTCTTGCGTATCGCCGGGCGCAAACACGATTTGATTTGAAAGTTAATTTACACCACAATTTATATTAAATATATATGCACATTCATTTTGTATCAATTTATAGGTATTGTAACGTACTTGTGTACAGTATAATATGTGTTATACATGTATCTATTTTTATAGGGTATTCGGGTGTTGGGTGAAACTCGAGCTCACGACTCAGATAACTGTAGCAGTTGACACGGTGGTCAATTCGTTCCACACGAGCGCATACCGACATACAGGATCGACATTTATGTACAGATATTATAGATACATAATATAAACGTATTGTCTTTATATTATTATAATAGCTTTGTAATTATACATTCATATTTGATAACAATAGCATCTTCTGCTAGTATGTTAATATATACATAAGTGTGTGCACGATAGTTTAGACGAGCATAGGTACCGCCCATACCTATTCAGTTTTCACACCGGTATAAATCTACCTGATTCCAAAAAGCCCTTTGAATTTTTAAAAACGCGATGTCTTTATAATTATAAGAAATATATGTTAAATATATTAAATATAGTATTATGGTCGGATGCGATATGCCGAGTGCCTACACGTTCGGTCGATAAATTATTTTTTCAGAAATCACTGTTGTCTAATGGTTTTATGTGCGAGATAACCCATGTTTAACTCACCAAAGGGAAAGGGAGCTAAACGCAAAGCCTTCATCTCTTCCAAAAACATGTCGGCAATAGGTCCTTAAAGATTTTTTTCGAGGAATACTTAATATCCTAAAAAAAACAATTCACGGAGCTCCAAAAACCTACGGGAATCTCCGTTTAAAATAATAACTCATAAAAAACGGAGTGCAGATGATTGCTTAGCATGCTTTTTCTTCGTTTATTTATAACGCGTGTGTGACTATATTTCATGCACGGCTTTATGAACGTTATCAACGTTGTTTACACGTAAACCATATAAGTTACCTTCGGACAATATACGATACATAAAATATTCTACAACGTGCAACGTCTCAATATGAATATAACCGTTTAACCAACGATAATATGTATTTGAGTTTTTGGTCGATTTTCCGTTGTGTTCCGCCTGTACAGTTAACTGTTGATGGAGTCGTACAGTTCGAGGACCACTTAAGTGAATTAAGCAAATGCAACATACGCAGGGTTTACAGAGGCAAAAAAGGACAGGAGGACTCTAATCCTCATCATTCTCCATATATTCCGATACAATTACTAGGTAGTTAGTTACAAATAGGTATATCTATTCAAAGATGTTGTCAGTAAACGATTCTCAAGAGACAAACTGTTCACGTGCTGTAAAAATATTTAAACTTGTAAATGACTTATAAATGATGATTTAATAAAATAAAAAATAAATTTAAAAAAACGTATTTATATAAGTATTTAATTTTCAATTTAAGTTCAATACGACTTAGTTTTTTTCTTGAACACCATCTGACACCTAAGTTGCATCAATTGAATTGCAATGCTAATTCTACAACCGTTTTGTTTCGTTTAATCGTTTTTTAACAAACGGGTGAGCTCTTCGGAAAAATTTTCAGAGAAATTTTAAAAGGGTACACGGTTTATAAACGCTGCGGCAGGTATTGGAACTGAGATTTATTGCGTCTCCCCCCCCCCCACCGTTTAATCCCTGAACATACGAGTAACTCACCTCTGGGTGTTCTTCCGATAATACGGAAATCGGTCACTGATGAACTTGTAGATGTCGGACAGCGGCAACATCTTCTCGGGCGCGCTCCATATGGCCATGGCCGTCAGCGATATGTAACTGTACGGCGGCTTTTGGTCGCCGTACGTCTCTCTGCACGGCCGCGGCATGCTCTCACGTGACCATCGTCGTCGCGCCTACGTTGCTGCCGTCACCGCGCCCGTTGTCGCGACGATCACCAACGGCGACGACCACCGCGACGACCGTGACCGCGACGACATTGAAATGCGAACGACTTTGATTTTCACGATCAGCTGCCGTGTCTCGCGACGAGTCGTAATACCCTTCAGCGGGGGGTTAGGGTTGGGGTGGTTCGGCACAGTGATTTAAACGTTCTTCACCCTCGTGTCTGCGTCCCGTACGTACGGACTGTTACGACGGTCGGCGAGTGAACATTCGACGCGGAACAAAAATATCGATGATAAAAATAACCACAATACGACTGCGAAATCGGGAAAACGAACGCGGAATCGGATGAAAACGAATGAGTCGGGTACGCACGGCGGTGCGGCGATTACGACGGCGTGCGATCGACACTGACCGGTTTGCACCGGTGCGCCGGGTCCGCGCAGCCAGCGCCAACGACGGCCCCCCTGAACGTGGGCGGTCCCGCGCCGGCACGCCATTGGCCGGTCCCCCGGACGCGGAGTGCCATTTTGTACGGTCCGTGCACGCCCGGATCAGAGCGCAGCGAGACGCGCACCGCAACCGTCGTTGTCGCCCGGATTTGCCGGCCTGCCGAAAATCGAATTTTTTCGCCGTGTAACCCATGGACGGGCGCACGTTATGCATATGCGCTATATCGATTAACATTATCATCTTATACACTACCCTTTACGTACGTGTAGGCAGTGGCGCAACTACGGGGGTGCTAAGAGATGCTCCAAGTCGTCTCAAATGAAAAATGTCCGCGATTAACGAAATTGTTCCAGATTAAATATTGAACAAATTTACTATAATTGGTATGAAACAATGTGTTTAACGCTTTAAAACTTAACAAAATAAAATCTGCAATACAAAAATAAATTGTGTTGAATTTTTTTTTTTTTTTTGTCACTATATATGCTATTGCGAATGTAATGGTACAATATAAACATTGGTCGCATGTTATGTTAGTGGTGGGTTCATAATGTAGTACCTTCAAGATTTGAAGTCTTGTAGCGTCTCTGTTTATAAACATAAGCATGCGCATGAAGGGATGACAGGTGTCCCCGAGCAGCTCCCGAAATGTTGTAAATGGGGACCTATGATTTGAGTCTAAGAGTAACGGGCCCGTATTTTAACTGACGCAGCTTCAAATTGAATGTAATTTATTCTAAAATATTTGGTAAAAAATAAATTATGTTTCATAATAGAAAATATAAATTTTCTACATTTTCTTGCAAAATCTTTTTATGATAATACAACAGCTACAATCGACTACAAAAAAGTAAAAATTGTAAATAATTTAAGCTATCTGAAATCAATATACGAGATGCATGGAAAACATATTCATTATAATGAAAATATATAATAAAATATATATTATAATCCTATAGGATTATATTATAATATATCACAATATTAAACAAAAAATTTAAGTTATGTTTATTTTATTATTTATACATTATGATTTATTAAATATAACTAAATGTTTTGTTAATATAGGGCCTAAATATATTGTAGGCAACCCCTGAAATAAAATCTACGCAAGCCTGCAGTTATGATACAAATGTGTTAAAACGACAATATTTTAATAAGACGGAGTTAACGGAAAGAGTATTTTTGGGTGAAGTTAACCGACTAATAGACTCACAAACGTGATCGATAAATAAGTACATTTGCCCTTTACCTTATTATTTGATAGATTTCATATAAAATAAACTTTGCTACTTTTTTTTTTTTTTGCCAATACGTGTTTGAGTTTAATTAAAATTATACTTAAAATGTATACAATACCTACCTATACTTGAACATAGTTCTCTAAGGAAAGACAAAACGTGCAATACGTACGTGTATAGATTATAATTTATACATTTTGTAGTTAAATAACGTATATTATTATTATTATTAATTAAATAACGTAATGAAATGATCATTCGCGGTGCAATATATTTTATTGGATATATACAGATATGCATATGGGGTGAAATTTAAATGGCTGTAAAAAATATAAAAATTTGCCGAGTCGTCCACCGACAATATAGTCGTAAAAAAGTAAAGCGCAGATATATTAGAATGGAAAACATAAGCGTTTGGGGAAATAATGAGTTTTTTTACTATCGTTATATTACTCGTATTATCATTTTTTTTTTCTTTTTATAAGTACCTGCCTGTAATTTTAGTTGTAATAAACGATTTTTGATGATACTTACTCTATATTATTCCGACATATCTTAATTAGCTGTGTGGGTGATACTTACATACTTATAGCAATTGTTATCCTCTAGGGCAGGGATGGCAAACCTTTTAAATACTGCTTGCCCAAAATTACCTTTTTTTTTTTTTATAAAGCGTTCCATGAAAAAAATATTAAAAATATTATATTTTGTTAAATTATAATTTGATTGTATAATTTATGTATTACGAGTAGTATAAAAAGGTTAGTTTAGATACATAATAATAATAATTATAATAATATTGCTTTGTTAATTATTTATATTATATTATACTATAGGTCCTATAATATTATATAATATTTAATATTAAACATTTTCGCGTGCCATGGATTTACCATCCCTGCTCTAGGGCGTATTTGTATTGAGGCCATGGGGGGGGAGGGCAAAACTAATTTTTCTTCAATACAAACTTAAAAATAATTTACAGTTCATTACGTACAGCCCACGTTTTTGTTCTAGTGATAACCAGGGTTGGGATTTTATAGCACTTAAAATTGTATAGATATGCACTATAATATTACCTTAAAAATCGCTAAATAAGCTCTAAAAATATGCAATAAAAGCAACAAAAAAAAAAAAGGGAATTTATTATTTAATAATTTTATACGAGCACATGAGACGAATGTGGACTGTATAATAGCGAATTCTACACTCGTTGGTTGATAAGCGGCTATTAGTAGATTTAATAGAAATCGACAAAAAAAAAAAAAAAAACAACAAAATCAGCAGTTAACAAAAATTAGAACCAAATAACTAAAACGAAATTATTGTATTATATTATACCTACCTATATATTACCGCTGTAATTTATAGAGTTGCATCAGCGTAATCGGTCTATTTACTTAATCTATAGATTTATAATTTAATTTTAAATTAAAATTAAAATTTTGAATCTTGAAAATTCGATTAACAAAAATCAAAAAACACGTTTACCAAAATACAATTTCATAAAATATTTTCGATTTCGATTAAAACATAGATAAAAGGCAAAAAAGTCTCAAAAAATCCAAAAAAATCACTATAAACTAAAAACGCTAAAAATGCAAAAAAAGCAAAATAAAATTTTTTATTTGAGTTTTCTATATCATGAAACACATTTTTAGCTTACTCTGCTATTTTTTAAGCATCTCATAAGAAATATGCAAATGCTATAAAATCCCAACCCTGGTGATAACATATTATAGTGATAGACTAATAATTTATATTCTTAATTATTTATACATTACATTTTTTAAATCATTCAATGTATTATATTCAAAAAAAATACGAGCCATGGGAGGAAACAAATGCCCCCTTCGTTCCCTCACAAATACACCCTTGATAGTTCAGTGGTATAGTATAGTTAATATTGGTAGCGGCGACGTGCATTCGGCCCAAGGGTGTATGTAGACTTAATTCTAGGGGGGGGGGCGACTCAAATTTTTTCTTTAATTCAGGCTCAAAATTTACAAGTAAAATTGTTGGTAATATTTAAATCATGATGTGAATCCTTAATATTAATGGGTATTCTGGATACGCCACTGTATATAGCGTATTCCATTTACACATAAGATATTATTAAGTATGTTAGACTAAACTAGATCCACTATACAAAAATATACAATACATATATAATATAGATATACGTCTAAAAACCTTAAAAGATAATTAGTCTCTTCGCAAAAACACTAATTTTCTCCATGACCTACGACATATATGTATATGTATATACAAATATATTATAATAATTAGTTCACAAACGGACTACTCCATTCAAAGAGCCTATTAATTAAGCTTGTTAATAATAACAATTATTCTTTTTATAAAAAGATTAATTTTTAATTTTCCATATGTTCTACGTTGTATATTATGAGATCATTTTCAAAGTTTATTGGCGCAAATATGCTATATGATTATCTATATATTATTTATATAATCATTCTATATTTTCTAGGTCCTACATTACCTTCTGGGGTACGACCAAACCATCAAATTCCAGAACCATTCAAGTATGCCAAGTCATTTATCTTCGCAAGATTGGCCAATGCTACTTTGGTATACATTATCAATAATGTACTGCGTAACGATCTAGGATTCTGAACTACAAAAAAAAGAGCTTCCAGCGTTCTAAGTATATACTATTTACTTTTCCATTACAAAACAGAACATAATCTCAATAAAATTAGTTTCTTTTTTGTCGATTAAATACAAATTGTATGATAGTAAAAGGCAATAGAAAGTGCAAATAAGCGTTTAGCAATTTACCTTTTTTTGTCTTTCTCAAAAAAATTAATCTTTTTATATTATAATTAATGACTGATGGTTCAAAGTCCTAAGATGAGTAAAAGAAATAAAAACAGCGCATAGAATGTCTGACGACCTATAATATACCGTAGTCACACATTTTTGGATTCGAGTCACCGATAAAACATTTCTTTGATTACATTTTTTCCACCGGCTAACTACGAAGAATATAAAAATAAACCATCTTGATCATTGCACAGATGGAGCGTAAACATATAAAACGAAGGACTTTACGGGATAAATTAGTTCTATGCAACGAAATTCACTTCGACTATCGTTAATTTTATTATACGTACCTATACATACCAGTTATAGGTGCATAAATAATACTAAATTAATGCATAAGACATTTTATTTAAAAATTGAACAAAGTGAACAAAAAAATAAACATTTCCTTTAAGTCTTACCCCCATGTAAACCGTATGTGCAGTGGTACGCCGCGATAATATCAAGTTACACTAATGGTGTTTGGTATAAGTTCACCCACATAACATAAAATAACATGGAAGTTCCTTTCTAATTTAAAATTATACCGATACATACGTTTTAATACAAAAAAATGTATTCAGGTTCTGCACGAAAAAACTATACCAGTTCGTAAGATCCTACAGAAATAAAAATAAATATACAACATTTTCTACGCGGAGTTAAAATTAAACATATTAGTTTCTGTACTGTACAGCAATCGTACTAACAGATAATGTATCATATGACAATAATTGATATTATTATTTTATGTGCCTGCAATGTAGATCCCACATGTATCCAATGATCAAATTCAATAATATAATGGAACGTACTACATCCAATGTATATATATTGGATTAGCCTTTTTCATTATGAAACGCAAAAACAAACACATTTCAAATCATCAAGCA